GACCTGAGCATCGGTTGTAGGCCGTTTCTCGCTTAGAGGCAGTACAGGTTCTTGTGAAGTCATCTCAGAAGTACTCTCCCCACAGACGGCGCCAAAGTTTCGGGGTTTTTTGATGTCCTGCGGGAGAGTTACAATTCCAACACTGACCTGGACGCCTGTACCTGCAAAACAACGGAAACTCCGGTGGGTGGGAGTTGCGCCTCCGACGATCAAGTTAGAACGTGTATGAGGAGTCAAGTGCGGAAAGTAAAGGGTCTCTCTTAGATTCCAAAAGAGTATCTGCAATGTGAATTTCTGAATAGATGTTCCTCAGAGGAAAACATCTCTTTATATAGCATTGAAAAACGTGCCCAGTTTTAGGTTTTAGTAAACCTAGGCCTAACTGGGCTTTGCCTAGGAATTTGGGCCGTAGAAGGCCTCTTTTCTGATGGGTTATCTGTTTGCCACGTGTCGTGGCTTGATTGGTCAGCCCTAGACCTCTCAGGAGGCGACACATGGCAGACTCTGATTAGTCCACGTGGATGACACGTGGCAGGACGTGATTGGTCCACGTGCCGGGAAAAATCTCCTAATCACCTTTAAATTGTCAATTTAGTTGGTTATCACTAGTAGAAAAAAAGAAATAGGCAACCCCCCTATGGCAACGGTTCATAAAACCGTTACCAACTTAAATGAGTTGGCAACGGTTAACCGTTGCCAATTGAGTATTTGTTTTTTTTTTTAAAAAAAAATAGTAGAGTTGGCAACGGTTACCGTTGCCAACTTAAAAAAAATAAAAAAATATTTTTTTCCTCTTCTCTTTCTCTCTCCTCTCCTTCTCCTTCATTCTCTTCCACTTTCTCGATCTTCCTCTCCATCATTCTCCCTTCTTCTCTTTCTCTCTCCTCTCCTTCTCCTTCATTCTCTTCCACTTTCTCGATCTTCATCACCTTCATTCTCCCTCCTCTTTTCGTCAACCTCAACAACAACAACAATCTCAACAACAACAACAACAACAAACTCAACAACAACAACAACAACAACAACAACCGTCAAGAATAATTTTTTTACTTTTTTCGTTTTTTTTTTCTTATTTTGATTTTAGATTTGTATTATTCGTTTTTTTTTTTTCCGTTTTGTTGTTTTTTTTTCGGATTTTGATTTTGTATTATTCAATTTGTGTATTAGATCTGTTTTTTTTTGTAGTGTTTGTTTATTCAATTTTTCTGTTTTTTTTGTATATTTGATTTGTTTCCTCTCATCCTCTCATTTTTTTTTTGAATTTTTTCGTGGTGGGTTTCGTGGGTGGGGATATGGTGGGTTTCGTGGGTGGGAATATGGTGGGGATATAGTGGGTTTCGTGGGTGGGGATATGGTGGGTTTCGTGGTGGGGATTTGGGTGATTTGGGTTAGTTTTGGTTAGGGTTCGGTGGTTGTGGTTGGTGAATCTGGGGTAGGTGGTTGGTTGTGGGTGGGTGGGTGTAGGTTAGGGGTTGTAGTGGTGGTGGGTTGTGGGTAGTTGTGGGTTAGGGGGGTTTCGTGGGTGGGGATATGGGTTAGGGGGGTTTCGCTGGGTGGGTATAAGGTGGTCAAGGGTCTGGTCAGGGGGTTGGGTGGGTGGGGTGGAGGAGTTTTGGACTGGGTGGTAGCGTAGGGGGTCTGGTAAGGGGGTTGGGTGGGTGGGTTGGGGGAGGTTTGGACTGGGGGATCTGGTGAGGTGGTTGTAGGGTGGGTGGGGTGGGGGAGGTTTGGACTGGGAGGTCTGGCCTGGTCAGGGTGGTGGTGGGTGGGGTGGATTGCTTGAGTTGGTGGTATCGTTAAACTTAAAACGTTGTTGACCAATTATTCAAAAAAAAAAAAAAATATATATATATATATATATATATTTGGCAACGTTTTGAACCGTTGCCAATTATTTTGGGATTTGGCAACCCTCAAATACGCAACGGTTCAAAACCGTTGCCTTTGAGGGGTTTGAACCGTTGCCAATTTGCTCTTTTCGTGTAGTGTATGTACACGACCCACTTCATTAAAGTAGAGCCATCACGTGCTTTTATTTGACCAACTAGTGACCGTATATAGTTCCAAATGATGCTGTATGACCTTGGGATGCCTTCACCGCTTTAGTTTTCGACACTGGTCACAAAATCTCAAAATTGGTCCAACTTTCTAGCCTTCAAATTTGCCTCAAGAGAGCATTTTTTAAACTGAGAATATTATACATCGAGGTGCTTCAAAGGGTTCCCAAAGGGCCCAAGAGGCCCACTTAAAGGTTGGAATCTTCTCATTCATGCCTTCACTTACCTCTTTTTGACATGTCTAAAAAGTCTTTTCAATATACATTGACTATTTTACAATTTATATAACTAATTATTAATATTAAAATTCGAACATAAATCGGGCACTAACTAGTTTATATCTATTTTTGAAAATGAATTCAATGTCACTTTAACATATATGGGATACACCCAAATTCAATTGTATTACGGAATATAGAACTATATATAATACTTCATTCACTTTTACATTTTTTTTAACAGCCCGTCTTGTGTGGCTGGCCACATCGTATGACCGCTTATAAAATAACAAAGTAAACCCTGTAATACTGACTAATTAACCCCCATAACAATGATCGAGTGACCCTATAACACTGCCAAAGTAATCCTTTTAACACTCACCAAGTAACCCCTAATACACTAATAAAGTAACCCATATTTTGGCAGCACACATAAGAATTTGTGTTTTTTAAAAAGGAAAAAATACCATTTGACAGACAAACTTATCACCCAAAATTATGTTTCGCTTTTAGATTAATTTGAAACAAAAAAATTAATAATTTAATTGAACATAGGTTTGCAGTTGAACTTACAAGTACTTTCTTTTCCTATAGTCCATACAAACCTATCGGCACTATTGCACTAACCCATGACCAATCGTTTCTAAATTAAGTCCCACAAACCCAAATCAAACTTGAATTTGTATATTGGTGTCACATACATATACTCACCTTCTTATGTGAACGACCCATTGAATTGGTGAACGACCTGAAAAATATAGTATAGTATAAACAATTCATGTAATGCATGCATGAACAATGGTTTAAACTTTAAAGAATGTATGGAAGGTTTTAGGTTTCATAACTCATTGAATGATTCTCGGTGCCTAATTAGGGACCCGAAATGCCATGTTTGTGATTAAAACCGGCTCTTGCAACTTTTGAATTCTTTACCACTTTATTGTTCTTTCTGGACGACTTTATTACATCATTTTAATGTTTGTTTTTTCTAGATGTTTTATACTCATTTCTTAGTAAACTTAAGTTTGAGCTCGTGCTCAACTAAAACTCACTTATGTTCATTTATTTAATAAATAGTTCAAGCTTGAACAACTTTTATAGTATAATAAGTATATAAGCTTGAACACAAATATACGCATTCTTATAAATTCATAAACTTGTTTATTTAAGAACTAACTCCTTTAGAGGAATGAGGAGATGAAGGGACTGTTCTCCATCCCCCCCAAGTGGTTGGGGGTCAATTGCTCACCTAGCCCTCCAATCCTGTGATAGGGTGAGGGCCCACCATGCATTTTACCGTTTAAAAAAAAATAAAAAATAGCTCCTTTATTTATTGATGTTAATATACAAAGTCGTTTATTTGTTCATGAGCATGTTTGTTTATAAGAAAAGCCCAAAGCTTATTTAAGGAAAGTTATTGACTTGTTCGTGAGTATTGATTTATTTACTCACTTTTTAATTAGCATAATAATTTTGATAATTTTAAATGTGAAAAACGCAATTTTAATATGAAATCGGCTAGATTAATAAAAAAAATCGTTTATGATTTTATCACAAATTCAGGATTATTTACGCAAAAGGGCTTATTTATGAAATCGGCTAGACTGATAAACAAATCGCTCATGATTTGATCACTAACACTACACTAAATCGTTCATGATTTGATAAACAAACTCCATTTCATAACAATCGGAAACACTTTTCTTTAACATTCGTTTTATAATAATTGCAACACTTTATATTTGAAAAGAACCCACTATTATTACTATATTGTTTTCTTTTCTACTAATCTCACTTTCACAAATATTTTATTATTTTTCTCTTCTACCAACCCCATGTACAACTTTTTTTTTTAATTATTCCTCACTCATACTAACTTTATTTTATATTATAAAAAATCTTGTATCAGTACCTACCCTTTAGTTTTACTAAAACTTAATCCATACCCTAATGTTGCAATTACTATGAAACGGAAGGAGTATTTTACTTTTAGCAAATTCTCTTTACCGCCTCACTCGTTTTACTCCACAATATTTACTACCTCAGGCTCGGTTCATTTCACCTTATTTTTGCTGAACTGAAATTATTTTTACTTAATAGAAATTATTTTTGCTGAACTGAAATTAATTTTACTAAACTGAAATTATTTTTGCTAAACTGAAATTATTTTTACTGATTTTCTATTATATTTCTTCTTTAAAGTTACTGAATTTTATTAAACTACTTATGTTTACTGAACTAAAATTATTTTTATTGAACTTATTGAAATTATTTTTACTTAACTTACTTCATATTATTTTTTTTAAGGAGAAGTGAACAGGGTCTCAGCTTCATATTATTTGCAACGATTTAACATGAAATATAAGTAGAAAATATATAATTGTTACAAATAATATGAAACAAAGGTAGTATATTTTTTTAATCCACTCATAAAGTCATAATTAATTAACAACTTTCTTACATTCCTTCACCTTTTTAACTTCTATTAGCAATCTTCTCTTCAAATGCATTAATTTGTGTGTGAACTTTTGGAAGCAGAGGTAATATGTTCTAACACGTGTGGATTAAATGAATGTTTTAGAAAGTGGATAAGACATCTGTTTCTTAGGTTGGGCAATAATTAACAAAATCACAATAGATGCTGCATATCAATGAAACAAATAAGATAATTATAGAAATTAGATTAAAAATATATTATTCATGGAAGTACAGATAGACAATGAAATCATGAAAGATATATTACTTAAGATTAATGTAAAAGGTCACTACAATAGGAAAATATCAAGCCAAGAAAATTTCTATTAAACTAAAAAGCTTACATAATTATATTATTAGCTGGCAAAATTTGCATTTGGACCTTTAATAACCTAGGAAAAAAGGAAAAGAAGCAAAGTGGAGATATTAATTGAGGCAATATGAAGCTGTAAAAATATTTATATCATCTCCCTTGCTTTCTCACCCAAAATATTAATTTTATAGGGATACACAATAAATGATTCATGCACATTTTTAATGCCAGCCTAAGTTTCTAAAAATGTTCTTGCCCATATCAGATTTTCAAATTAATAAAGTAAGAAATCAGGAGTTCCTGATATTAGGAGACTTTCATTCAATTACCTTAACCTTCTATAATAAAATTCTTGACCATTTTTATGATTAAAGAAATAATTATAGGTATTAGGTTATCAAAATTGTAAGAAGAATCATAAATGAGACAGAAAATTCGTAGATGGCAAAACCAAAAAGGATAGAGAAGATCATTATCCTACCCATTGATCTATAGAAAAGGCGAAAAACTCAGCTATATATTACCCTGCTCCCCCACGGCGAAATGTGTACCTTGTCTCTTCTTCCTTTCTCTCTTCACCTATCCCTCCCCTTCGTTTTTCTCTCAAGTAATTGTTTTCACAATGTCTACGCGGTGGAACTCAAATCCTCACCGTCTCTACAGCAACGAGCATTCTAGGCCTTATGCTATGAGTCCTATGGTGCTTGCATGCCGAGTTTGTGAGAAGGTATTCCTCAGCAGCCATTCTCTAATAGAGCACTATGAGTCTCATCAAAATGAGTTTGCTCGGAGAACCCAAAATAATCTAACGGCTGCCTTGATAGCTAGACAGAGAGAGAACAGAGAGAGAATCATTACCAACAATCCTTTCCAACCCCGCCTCACTCCACCATCCACCTTTCAGCAGCGACACCACCCATATTTCCCAAATGGCTTCAGAACTTTGCAGCATGAAAGGGCACCAATAGCTCAAAGCCGCCCTTTTATTGCTTCTACACAAACTCAAAACTTGGTACAACCAAGGTACCCTGTTGTGAATCATGGTAGCTTGGGTGTTTCCTTTCCATTTCCAAACTCAACATCAGGAAGGACTGTTGCAAGTGGCAGTCAGTTTGTCCTTCACCAAATGCCATCGGTTCAGAAAGCTTCACCTCCGCAAGTGCCATTCCCAGATAATCGAGGGCGGAATGGAGATGATCAGTTAGCAGACAACAGAACTGTTTGGTACCTCAGACAATTGGAAAAGCCGATACCAACAATGATTGATCTGGATGGAGAAGATGAAACATGTGAGCACCTAAAACTAGATCTGACATTGAAGCTCTAAGTCAAGGGATATGTTCTGTGTTATCTAAGAATCTTTTTATTTTACATCCTTTGATTTTAAAATATATTTTTTAGTACACAGGTTCAGGAATCAGGATTCAATAGATTTTCATGTAGTCTACATGCCTTTCTAGAGGGGTTTTTTTTCTTAATGTACGCCTGTAACGACACAGTGTAATGGAATCTATTGCATTTTTCTTTCTCATACAAGTCCTTGCTAATTTAGATACGAGCATACATATTCTATTAAAGGCGAATAATAAAAGACAAAGCAAGTTAAGCAACCAATTTTAGAACACTTATTATGTTAAAAGTAGACTCCTGGATTCCCAATCTGGCACAAGGCGTTGCATAAGAATTGTGATTGCATTAACAATCGCGACGCATATCAAGGGTGCTAAGACGCGCTATGTGGATAGCACATTGTAGATTGAAAAGTTATTATTTTTTTTAATCAATTTCCAATACACCTAACATCTATTTTCGTTTTACTCATTTTGAGGCTCAAATGTAGACCCTCTTATGAGTCTCAAAATGTCACTTCTCAATTATCATTGGCGAAGCCACGACATACAGACAATAATAGTAATATATTTCAATTACTTTTTTAAATGATTTTTTTTTTCACATGATCTGGAATGAAAACAATTTTGAAAAATTCTCAAATTTGCCACCTCATTTTGGAAATCATTTGATGTGAGACTATTTTTGAAGACACTCATTCTCCTCTTCCGCCTTACTTGAGCCCCCGTTGTAATTTAAGAGTTTTGAAATGTATTCTTTACTTCATTCAACAAAGTTTTTCTCACTCTATTAAGTATGCTCCATAAAGTTCTTCCCTCTTTTTCTGCATATCGTGGCAATGAAAACTCCCCCTATAACCCTTAGTGGCCCACCCTATGAAAGCCATTACCCCCACTAAGATATGCAACTAATCGTGTGACTTATCTTACATGTGAATTCAATATGTTTAACCATTTTAACAAGATATGGTAACTGCTGATACGTTAAAAGAGCAGTCTATAACGGATATGTAACTGCATTTTGCGGAAACACAAATCAAAAATTCCTTACAGAATGTCTTTCACAAAAAGGAATAGCCTTAATTTAATTTCATAGTTTGAAGCTAGGCTCACAACATTAAGACAGAGATCTTATGTAGGAAAAAAGCAACACACTAGGGATTCATGGAACAAATACCTTTATTAAGTGTACATCTAACTATTATTGCCTTATAGGGTAACTTTGAGCCAATTTGGGGTAGCTTAAAATTTGCATTGGTATAACATGATTTTAAAGTTAGTCCCTTTAAACACTATGATTGTAAGGTGATCTCAACTAACATGTGGTTCTAATGAGATGGTTGTGAAAGCATCCGTGGAGATTTTGGTTATGGAGATAAGAATGAAGTTGAAAATGATATTTTGGATTTCACATTGGGATACGACTTGGGTATAATGAACACTGGGTTTAAGTAAAAAAAACTCTTAGCTAATGACTTAGTCAAATAGACTTCTTTTTAGTAAGGATGCATGGAGAAAATAATTACATTAATTGTAAGGTGAAACTGGTGCTTGATTTTTGTGGTAGGATTTATATATGTATAAATGGAAACAAAGACCACAAGTGGAGCCTAAATTAAAATGAGAACCAACAAAAAATTGTGCAAAAGATGGTAATGCAAGAATTGGTCTTTATATCATAGATTTAAATACAGCTTCAGGGACAAAAAGGAGCACAACATTGCGGCAAAAGAAGAAGCATGCCACCGAGTAAGCTATCAGCTTGGTGGAAATAAGAAATACAAGTGATAAAGAGCAAACAAGATGTAAGAGTGATAAGAATTATGAGAAGTATAAAAAGAGACTAGAAGAAAAGCAAAAGGAGGTTGTGCAAGATGCAAAAGTGAAGGTGAATCAAGACCTTTACGCGAGCTTCGATACGAAAGAAAGGGTAGAATGCATTTATAGTCTTCCGAGTATACGAGATAGAAAGACAAGAGATATCACCAAGTAGTTCCGGTTCAGGTACGAGATAAAGGATAGATGGAGTCATGAAGATCCTACTATATTAGATTGTTCAATGGAGATTGGATCCAACATATTGGAGATATAAGTATCCCTCACAATATCATTCAACAGGCGAAGAATAAGAAAAAGAAGTCAATGGCATTGAGAAGATGGGATTGGAGGAATTAGTTGAGCGTGATGATGTTTAGGTTTAAAGGTGTATGAGAGAGAGAGAGAGAGAGAGAGAGAGAGAGAGAGAGAGAGAGAGAGAGAGAGAAAATTGAATAGTTGACAAAATTCTTCAATGAGATTGAATAGTTGACAAAATTCTTCAACAAGATTTGGAGTAATAATAAGATACTACTAACAGAACGACATCAAAGGATCAAACTAACAAGTCATAATTTGAAACATTGTGGGTGAGTGATCGAAGAAAGGTTAAGGAGGAGAGTGAAGATCTTGGAGAACCAATTTGGCTTTCAAAGTGATGCAATTCACCTTATGAGATAGCAAATGGAGAGCTATTGGGATAAGAATGATTTACATATCATTTTCCAATGATTTGAAAAAGGCCTAAGATAAGGTATTGAGGGAGATAATTTGGTGGGCTTAACAAATAAAATCATTTCATGGAAAGACATAAGAGTTCCCTACTACAATTGGAGTACATCAAGGTTCTACACTTAGCCCTTTTTTTTTTCCATAGTCATAGACAAATTGACAAGTTCAATTTAAGATGATATACCATGGTGCATGATGCTTGCTGATGATATTTTGTTCTTTAATGAGAGGAATGAAAACGTGGAAAAGTAAGTTGGAATTGTAGAGACAGATTGAATATAAGTATGCCTTAAAATTTGGAATGTAAGTTTGGCAGAGTTAGAAACAGGAAGGCAGGGACAAACAGTGCTTATGATATTTAAGACTTATTATTCAATAGGATGGGGAATTGGATGGAGATGTTGTTCATAGAATCAAAGTAGGTTGGTTGAAGTGGAAGAGTGCTTATGTGATTCTGGCATGCCCCATAAATTGAAGGAGATATTCTACCTAGGTTGTGAAGCATTTAACGTTAATAAGGAGTGTGGCAGAGATGTATATGCTACGATGGATATGAGCCCATACAAGAAAGGACCGATTCGGGAATGAGATATTTTCAAATAAAGTAAATAAAATAAAATAATATAAAAGTGGGGGTTACATCTATTGAAAAGAAGACAAGGAAGAATCGCCTAAGGTGATTTGGCCATGTAAGACAGGATCAAGTGAGGTTCCGGTAAGGAAACTAAGAGTGGCAAAGTGATAGGTTCGTAAGGGGTAGTGGGAAAAAAAGAAAGAAAAAAAAAACTTACAACAAGGACAATATGGCAATGGAAGGCAAAGTGGAGTGTACTTTCTTTTTACCAAAACTCTATGTGTTTTGCACACTCTATGTGTTTTCCTTTGTTAAGGTTTTCAAAAGCTTTTTGTGTTTTTCACTCGGTGGGTTTTCCTCTCTTATTATCAGATTTTTTTTTTTTTTTTTTTTTTTTTTTTAGGGATTAAGGCCTTGCAGACTTGTATTATTTTGTTGATAAGAATGAATAAATGAGTAAGATGGCACACATGAACATCAAACAACTAATAAGGAACAAATTGAAGCATTGCCAATAAGTCCCTAGGCAGAAGCAACTTCCATCGTGCATTAGAAAAGTCAAATCCATGAAAAAGAATGTAAAAGAATTAATACCAAAAAATAAAAAAATATTTCTCCTTCCAAGGAGTATGAGACTAGAGATTGTTATTATCCTTTCATTTTTTTTAATTTTTTTTTTTTATACCTAATAGTACTAAAAAAGCATAAATGTGAATTAGCTGATGTAGTTTTTTTTTTTCACCTAAACTACTTAATGACTGAAATTACTCATTGGCAAGTGTGAGAATGGAGGGGTTGAAAATTATAAAAAACAAAGAAAGCATATGAATATCACAGCCTAAGCTGCCATTTAATTAATCCCCATGCATATATTGTAATATATAATTAGTCAAAGTTGTGCCTTAGAAAAAATGAAAATGTTGTAAGGTTTATAATAAAATCAACAACTGAATATGACAGTAATGCGACTTGGAAAACTTAGTGGTAGTTTGGTTCACAATCTTCACATAGAAAGTAGAAGTTCCCACTAATTTCAAATTAATGGGAAATAAATTTCATAATCAAATTCATGGGAATTTTCCAAAATTGTTTGGTCAACAATGAAGGAAGTAACTTATCATGAGAATTTCTACTTACCTAGGGGGAATTAAGTAAATTCCTACATTTTGTGGGAAGTGTAAATTCCTAGGAAGTTAAACACTTTCACTTCCCCCACTTCACCAAACTTTTGTCAACCAAACAACACACCTAACTTGTAATTCCTAAGAAGTCTCATTTCCCATGTTTTTTTTGTCAATCAAACAAACCCTTACATCCTCCACACAAATATTCAGACATTCAAAAGTAAGGGATGCACATTACCTGAGTTTAAGCTTTGGGTAGCATTTTCAGGCACATCTTCATTCTTCAATAACATAGAAAGTGGAGGGGAAAACAAAAAAAAAAGAATTCCACAGACCTGTACTGTCACAAAATTATGAGATACGTGTTAGTTAAAGGCAAAACAAACCAACTTTTCGTTACTTATCATTGTGTATTAAAAACAAAATGCCACATAAAGCCTACTTAATCATACTGAGCACCAAGAGCTTGCACAACCGTATAAATAATAAACTCAAGGTCATCTTATAGAAATACTAATTATGAAGGTAAAACTACAATAAGAAAGGACAGTCAGATTCATAAGAGATTCATAATCAGAAAGCCAAGGGTTTTGACAAGGAGTTGTAAGAGCAGGTAATGCATAAATCTTACTCTTTATCCTTGGCTAAAACCCTTGATTTCCTACTTCAATTTGAATCTTGCTGTCTTGCATATATCTTGCTCTTTTTCCTTGGCTGAAGCCCTTGGCATTCTCTTTCAAGTTCCATCTTGCTCTTTGTCCTTGAAGTAAAAAGTGAATATTTTCGCGCAAGTTTCAACTGTGAGACTCAAAGAAGTCATATAGTCCAAATAAAACCCTATATAAATTAAAAAAAAAAAAAAAAAAATTAACACTGCAATTGTAATTTATTATTCATCAACAGATTTTTTTTTTTTTAACATAAAATAACGAATTAATATAAATCAGCAAGTCAGAAACACTAAAAAGGGCCTTCTGTACAAAGAATTACACTAAATTTGTGCCATTGGTTGGTGCAGTCCGATATGGGATATCTACTCCAGCCTCCATGCACCAGTTCATGTTACTAACATCAACCACACCCAAGATTTTTCAATAATTAGTACAAATTGATTAATTTCAGTTTATTAAAAATAAGAACCCATATAATAGAGTATCTAGTAAAAATAAATTAATCAATAAATTCAACTTCAATAAAAATAATTTAAGTTCGGTAAAAATTATTCAAGTTCAATTAAAATAAATTCAATTTAGCAAAAAATAAGGCGAAGAAAACAGAGCCTAAGTAGTAGAAATTTGAGAGATAAAAGGCTGTCGGGGAGTCTCCAAAACTACAAGCGTGGATTGCTTCCAAGAGGCGAACCGAAAAGATTAAACAAGAATCTCAAACTCAACCAAATAAATTCCCAAAGCACATTCGGACACCGGCTAGGCTACATTTAGAAAGGTTAATCTTCAATCATGAAATCAATCCAAAGATATGCAAGATACTAAGCGCCTTCTTACACTTTTTCAGCAAAAAACAAATGGCATCATCTACATAATACGTAAGTGGCAAACCTGCATTTCCTCTCTCCCAACCTTGAAACCCTTGATTAAACCCTCCAATACACCCCTCTCAAGCATCCTACCAAACATATCGACAATGAGAAATGAGATCTCCATGTCGAGAGATGAAGTAAACCACTCTTTAAGAGACTCATTCACTATTAACAAGCACCCTTTAATTAAGGGTTCTCCACCAATAAACCTATCATCTCCAACATGAAATCTAAGAAACACCAACTTTCCATATTGTATGCCTTAAAATCTAGCTTCAAAACCAAACCCTTGTACCCCACTTCAGAGAACTTCATGCACCTCATTACCCACAAGAACAATATCTAAGAATTGTCGTCCCTTCTCAAAAGCACGTTGCGATTGAGGAACAATAAAAGAAAATACATCCCTAGCCAATTTGCCAACACCCTTGTGACAATTTCATAGGTACTTGTAACCAAACAAATGGCCATAACCACGGCCTCATATTTTATTGGTTTTTTTTTTTTTTAATCATTTGTTCTTGTACACCATCCAAAAGAATGATTTAGGTTGGTTAAATTATAAAAGCTAATAGGATTTTGTACCCTCGTAAAAAAAAATAAAAATAAATAAAAAAAGGTCATCTTCTCAAATGAAAATCATTGATAATCAATATTCTATATTGACATCCTAATTTCGTTCAAATTTCGAATGAGTTTTAAAGATGCCAAATCCTGCAAACTTAACCAAACAATCAAATTTTAGAATTGATATTCCAAGCTTTCAGAGTCAAAGTCTAGCTACAAAACTAATCGGATATCAATTGAAGTTGATGAGGAAGACTATATCGAGGGAATTGGAATATATTCTAAAACATTAAGTATTTCTTTCTAAGGTCAAAAAAATGAAATAGTATAGGGAAATACTTTCGTTTAGCATTGATTTTTTCCATTGTTCCCATTCATTTTAATTTTTCTCTTTTCTCATTGTTTTTCCCATTGTTCCCTCATAAAACCATATTAATCAACTATTTTATTCTTATATCCTCACTACCTATAACAAAGTCTACCCCACCCTACTAAACCCTTTAGCATGGATGTCAAAATTAATAAGCAAAAATATTTTTGGATAAAGGAAATGAAATTCTACAATGCCACCCTTAATGAATGTTAACTAAAATTTGGGCACGTATAATAATGTTTAGGAATAAATTGTAGGGGCGTGGATTTATTTTTATTTATGTAGACAGTGTAAAAGTTAGAATAATTTAATTATACAAAAAAAAAAAAAAAAAAAAAGGTTGAGAGAGAAAGAGCAAAACAGAGTTTGTGCGTTACTATGCAAAGAGAGGTTAACATTCGGGTGGGTGTAAGAAAGAAAAAATATATTGTTGGGTAATGTAAATGGAGTTGGCCAAAAATAAAATAAAGCAAGTGTAAAGAACTTTCATGAACTGACATAATGTATTTGCTTTCTTCGTTCCACTAATATTGCACTTCCTCCATTCCCCAAATTCGGGAAGTGCACAATATTTTAGGTAGTGGGAAAGGAAAGAGAGAAGAAAAAATACAAACTTGCCCATGTGATTGCAAGCATAAACTAGTAACAAGTATTAAGAGGAAAGGGGTATATTGGGTATTCACAGTGTAAAAGGAGGTACTTGTTTTCCTAATATAGAAATGGTACCATGCTTGTGAACCTTCCTTAAAAGGTAAATGGTGCAATATTTAGGTAATGGAGGAAGTATATATATAGCAACAAAATATAGAATCCACCAAAGCATTGGTCAACAGTCAATAAAAAAATGTATGTACTTCTCTTCAAGGTATGACTTCAATACATGTAACAGGTAAAATCTTTCAATGCAATCTGTTGTAAAGTAATATAATGCCATATCATCTTTAATTACCTGTTGCCAAGATACGTCTTTGAAACTGCCAAGAAAAACTAATCCACTAGGTCAACGCACTATTACATTTGTTTCATCTGACTAGGTTGTTCATCATGGCTCCTAGTGCAACGGCCATCCACAATACTCTCTGCATTTAAGTTGATGTGGGATACACACAAAACATCACATGAAACAGAAATTTTCTCAATAGCCACCTGCACCTCTTTCTTGCAACACGTAGAAAACACCCTTAAAGGCCTCCCGACAATGGGTGCACAGATGACCTATACAAGTTGACAATTAATGCTGAAATCAAGTTTTCAACCGTGGATTTTTTTTCTTTATTTGGTCAGATATAGGGCGAGTAAGAAATGACATAATAAATGCACACTTATCTCATACACATTTTAAACAAAAAAATAAAAAAAAACTGGGATTATTTAAGCTCACATGCATTGAGCAAATCACCTACTATGGTAGTAGACTAAGCTTTCTAATCACTTACACCTTTCTTAACTTCCCCATCTTGCCCCGTTGATTATGACTCGCAATGGTCGACCTATTCAACCAAGACAAATATTTATAGCCCGATTTTCTTGCAGACAATGTCGCTTCACCTCAGTTGATATTGAGGGAATCAGACATCATGCTAACAGTCATATGTTAGAAGCAACAATCAACAACATCCACAACCAACATCAAACAGAGCAAACTCGGCAACTAAGAGAAAGAAATCTGCTCTTCAATCCCTTCCGTCAAATACTTCCATCACCAGCCCAGCCGGCGAGGAGAATTCCTAGAAGCAACAGAATTCAGATGCAGAGAGGAACACCAGGTTCTGAAGAATGGAGACCTGTTCAGACCCAACTGGTCCAAGCAGAGCAGCATATCGCGTTACAAGAAACACAAGAAACCAGCAACGCAAATTTAATGCCCTTGATAGATCAGCTTGACCATCCCATCCCAATAATAATAGATCTTGATAGCGACCAAACTGGTGATATAGACCAATTTGATCTCACTTTGCGACTCTGAAGACGCATATGGATCCAAGGCGGTGAGACTCGTGACAGTAACATTTTCTTTTTCAGTAGTTGTCTAATTTTCATATATCTTTCAAAGATGTGGCTGCATGCACATCCCATCCTCTCTTGTCATTCCGGTGAAAGAAGAAGATGCCCGTTAGTTCAGTTTCTACTTCTAGTACTTTGTTAACCGTATGTGTAACTCAAAGAGTCATTGAGTCTCCGGACATGGCAAATTGAAAGCGTTATCTACCTATTTTAAATTTTCATGAGTTCAGTTATTCGTTAGTCAATTCGTGTTCAGCAAAATATAGTTGTGGAGGTAAGTGTTAGTTGTTAAGAGATAATTAAAATATGAATGTTCAATAAACTAGCTGTTGAATAACTGTTACAAATAAAAATTAATATTTTTTCCTAAAAGTATAAATTAAATTACCTTTAAAAGCTACCTCCACCACAAAAAGCTACCCCAAGGTCCTAAACTAGTACTGTCAAACACTCAAATTTTTTATCAAGTAAAACTAGTTTAAAGCTAGTGCCAAATACATCCCAAATCCATCAGTATTTTCTCTAAGGCCTTGTTCGACAAAACTAGCGGTCGAATAGCGTGTATCACTATCAATTAGTAGCAGATAGAGAGTAGTTGTCAAAGTAACGTTGGATAGTATGAGTGTTTAGCAAAAGTAGCGGTTGAAATATTAGGAATTCTGCCGTAGATCTAGGTCTGGGACAAAGCGCAAAAACACAAAAAAGGGATTTTCTAGACCGAAATATTAAAAAACATACATATTGTTTAAAAAAGTAACCAAATTTTAAAACCCGTACCCGCTATCTTTAAAACGCTACTAATTTTAATGTTCGAGAAAAGTTACCCAAACAGTACCTCTAACACTAACCGCTACCGGAACCAATACCTTACCAAACCCCTTCAAGTAGTGTTTGAACTTGGTCAAAACACTAACTGATACCTCAAACGCTGCCACCAAACAAGGTCTAAAACTCATACAATGGCCAGAATGTTACTTTTTTTTTCTTTTTTTTTTTTTTTGGGTTACACACTAACTTCCGTAATGACATGAGAATTATATAAGGTGTACATGTGGTGTGGTGTGATGTGTTGGGAAATTAAATATTAGGGTATGAGATAGGAGACATAATAAAGAATGTAGAATTGAGGACCATGAGAAAGGTAATTATTTTAAAATGTATACATATAAATACTTCCTCCGTTTTTTTTAGTAGACACCGTTTGACTTTTACACTGTTCACACATTGACACATTGCACTTTGACTTGCTTTTGTGATTTATAGATACGATAAAACATAGTCATGTGGGATCTTATTTGAATCTTCTCAATGTATATTTTATTAATACCCACTTTTTATAATTTTGCAATGTTAATAATTAGAGATATTAATCGTTAAAAACATGCGTTAGCAAGCGTGATCATAGAAAGGTGTCAACTAAAAAAACAGAGGAAGTATATAGATTTAGGTTCATGTGAGAACTACTCTTACGGTGAAAACTAGGGTTGTTCATAACCGAGTACCCGAAGTCGAGTACCAGAAGAGTCGGGTGCCCGCTTTTGCGGGTAGTAAAGTACTCGGCCCATGATCGAACCGGCAAACTTCGGGTACCCGATATGGATTTCACGGGTCGGGTCCCGGGTACCCGTTCAAAACGAAATTTAAATTAAAAAATACAATTAATTAATATAAATATATGAAAAAATTGCAATCAATTAATATTTGAATAGATGTTATCTACATTGTATTAATATTGTTAATTTCACACAAAACAAAAACTCAAACTTTGTACTCTTACAATTCATCAATACAAATGCAATTATTATTACATTTAACTAAAACCAAAACCCTAAATTATGAACTTACAAATTTACAATATTTCCCTCAAATTATGTACTCAATCCCTCGGTCGTTACGTGGCCGTCGTTAACTCATCTTCGTTGATGGTATGAGGATGGTGGTGGTGGAAAGGGGGGATGATGCGGTAGTGGCCTGGTCTTGACGATGATCGGAGATTGGCCGGAAGTCATGGTGGAGTATTTGTTGAATGTTAGAGTACTATGATAATGATAAATGATGATGAGTTTTTTAGGTGGAGAGGAGGTATTGACTTGGAAAATTGTGAGGTTAGAGTGTTGTCTTCATGTTGTTTCACCATAGCAGATTAGTTAAAGGAGGCGTAAGAGTAGTGTGACTGTGTGAGAAGGGATGGGGCAGAGGAGAGAGAGAGGGGAAGTTGAAGTTTCGAGGAAAAAAGCCCAAATTTTTTTTTAACCTAGCAGGTTTTTTTTTTTAAAGGCTATCTAGCGGATCGCGGGTACCCGAGTAACATCAAAGCTCGACCCATGACCCGAGAATTTTAACCAGGCCACTACCACATCAAATCCCCTCTTTCCACCACCACCACCCACAGACCACCAACGGAGATGAATTAACAGCGACGGCGGTAACGACTGAGTGATTGAGTACATAATTTGGGGGAAATATTGTGAATTTGTAATTTCATAAGTTAGGGTTTTGGTTTTAGTTAATTGCAATAATAATTGCATTCGTATTGATGAATTTTAAGAGTACAAAGTTTGAGTTTTGGTTTTGTGTGAAATTATTATAGGATTGTAACAATATCAGTACAATGTAGATAACATCTATTCAAATATTTAATTTAAAGTTCGTTTTAAACGGATACCCGGTGACCCGACCCGTGAAATCCGGGTACCCTATAACCGGGTACCCGAAGTTCGCCAGTCGGGTCATGGACCAAGTACTTTACTACCCGCAAAAGTGTGTACCCGGCTCTTCAGGTACCCGGTCATGAACAGTCCTAGTTCTCATCGTAAGAGTGGTTATCACCATAAACATGGTTCTCACATGATCACATGAACATATGTATATATGTTTGCCCCATTTTCCTTTTCAGTTCATCCCTTTAAACTTGCCTCATACTAATTTTGATTGTAGGAACCACATTTTTACTCTCACAACCACTCCATTAACCCCCACCACTTTTCTAACTCATCAATTCTTTTCAACAAAAAATTTAAAAAGTAACGATTCCCCAATGGAGCAAATAAAGGGGGATAGAGGGAGTAGAATACTAGAACGTTAACCGTGTGTGCTCGCATAAATTTCAAGAAGAAAAGAAACAAGAAACTGCTTGAAACGTTAAGAGATTGTCAAACTTAAGGCTATAAGTATTCAAATATAGCTTAACTCTCAATATCAAAACTTTAAAGAATCATCTAATTAATCTCTTGGAAATTGTACTTATTTTAAACATTTAATTTAATGTAAGCCATTTTACAGGGCACAAAACTAAAATGCAAAGCAGCAAAGAGAAAACTACGCATGACTGTCCAATCACTGAAAAAGTTTAGAGTGGTAACAATATACAAACATTAAATGACTTGACCACTTTAGTTGTGATCTATTTTCTCCTTAAAGCGGTTAAAACATCCCCCCATCTCATTATTTTTCACTTTCCAGGCAAGTCGCAATAAGGAGGGGCCAAACCGAATCATCGGTCAGCCTAGCAAGTATTGCCATCTGATGGGCCAAGCCCACAAGACAACCACTAGTTAGGTAATACCCACTTGGCTGGGGAAAGGGTTCACTACAGGTAAGCTAGCATCAACATAGAAATCCTTATCATATGAGTAAAACAAAACGATACCAAAAAAGGGAGGTACCTTACATTTTCGGTGCACTTCATGTCATTGCAGATTTAAACTTGAGTTTAGTAATTTGTAGTGCCCATTTCAGGACCTCAGCTACCTAGAATAATAAAACACCCTTCAATATAAAGAATTACAGAGACTGACATCATTAAAACAGTGACAGAAAAGGCTTAAGTTATAGAAATGGATAGGGTGCAGGCAGAGAATTTAAATATGGAGAACATACTACGTATGCATTTGACTGTGGCAGACACATTAATCAAGAGCCCCAAACGGCTCAATAGTTCGATTAGAGAAATGTATCAAGCATAACATACATTAGTCATTGCATAAGAAAGATATGTCCATTTTACAAAAGAAAAACAACCAAATCAAGGCACTAGGGAGTGTAGAAGAAAAGAAAGGATCATTCTCTTTGCAAATCAAGAGCATGACTAACTCTGAATGGTAGAAGATTGTATCATTCACTACCAAAAATGAAAAACACGACGGTACTTTCAGGTTATTAGGAAAAAGAAAGTGTATACAGTATCATTCACTAACATAAATGATTACATTAATCTGAATAAGGAAATCGGCCAAAATTGACACATCAAAGTCACACATATTTATAGTGACAACAAGTGTCAACATTTGCTTTTGCAGAAGACATACAAATGATTGGCCAAATATATACCCTGTAAAAACACATATTGCTTGAAGCTTATTAGTATCTTTAATTGACTTATAGGTATAATTTTTGCTGAAATTGTGTTCTGGGTAAATAAAACAATAACTAGTTAAAGAACTCTCATCACGGATGCTATACATTCATTTTAGATATGGTGGCCATAGAAGAAGCTTGTCTTGTAAAAGCTAGGTGCAAGGGACAATAAAAACACCCTTAAGGAGGTAGCACAGGAACATAAAGCTAGTAAAATACTATCAAAGCCCTCAAATTTTGTTAAGAAAAATACAAATAAAACCACTAAAGACTAAAGCAAATTTTCATAGTCATAATTTCCACTCAAAGAGTAAAGGCTATAAGAGCTTGACTCCCGGATACAAACTAATTACTCAAAAATAACGGCCGAATACGCTTGTAGAGAATTTATCGCCAATAAAGACATTGTGGTCAACCCCGTGTTTATGACATAATTTTTTGAAAAAAGACCCATAATGATGGTTCATTTATATAGCGTGGTCACTTTAATTTAAGTAACGACATTTTGGAAATTATTTATATTCCATACTACTAAAATAATAACAAAGGCTGACAAGTGGAAACCTCACCTTAATTCTTTTGCCTAAATCATTTCTAAAATATTCTCTTTCAAGGAAATAATTTACTAAAAAGATCCTCGTTAAACTAAAAATCTAAGATAATCTTCCTTATTTTTGTTCTGTTCAAATTTATTTTAAATATTTAATATGAAAATGGAACACACACACACACACACACACACACACACACACAAAAAAAAAAAAAAAAAAAAAAAAAAAAAAAAAAAAAAAAAAGTCATTTTCCTATAAACAATATGTCAACCTTAAGTCAAAGAGTAGTCCCATAATAAGCCCATTCCTATACTAGAAAATGTGACAAAACAGTTCTACACATTTTAAAATAGTATATATAACTATTACTTCCAGATGGAGGGAGTAATAATAGGATTAGAAGCCTAAAAAGGTGAGTGTAATGTTACATTCTATAAAATTTGTGGACTATACTTCAGCTAAAGTAGCATGTGTAGCTTGGACATAAAAGGATTCTTAAAAACATAAAGAGGATTGCTTAGACTTAGGATTGTAAAGTCAGCTGTAATAATTAGTTTTTGGAACGCAAAAGAAGCACCTGGTCCCCAAATTTAGCTTTTATAAACTTAGTTTGCAGTGTGATTAGCTAGATGCCGCATCATCAGTAAGATTTATGGTTACATATATACGCAAAAATTGCAAAAGGAGAAAATTGCATAATATGTTGTCATTATGAGTTGTTTTCAAAAGAAACATGCAATCTTATAAGAAATATACACATACACACAAATTCTATGCCTATAAATAATAGAAATTAAAGTATATGAAACAAAAATAGGTTTAATAATGTCAATAAATTAGTACATTCTCTAATTCTCCACTGATTTAATCTCAGGTTCTCAAATAATTTACAGTACTACGAGTCCACAAACGGATTTGATGTTACAAAAATTTGAGTTTTATGATGGCTGGCGGGGATTGATCTCGTTCAATGTTGGTTGTCTAGAATAGAACGGCAACCAATATTAGTTCTTATGTTAGTCCAAACAAGAAGAGGAGGAAGCATTATTCCATTTATTGCAAATTAGCCTAAAAAAAACTTTCCAAATGCAGGCTGCTCAAAATAATACCCGATAAGAGATATTCATGATTCATAAACCTGCACACCACATTATACACACTGATCTAATTCAAAATCTTTGCAGCAACTGTGTGTGCACTAATGTTAATCTAAGGGAGACAAAAAGATTAGCATATGATAGAAGTCATGAAACCACTACTAACTTTTCTAACATTACCCCTCAATAACACTTATACCTTCTTATACACTATATAGGTCCCCCAATAAGCCTCGCTTTATTTTTAACCACATCAAAGAATTACAGTATCTCAATTTCCAGAAGCCTTCAGTTGCACATGTAATGTCATTAAATTATTACTCTAGTTCCAAATTGTACTAAGACTCAATCAAAATGTATGCCCATTGCCCAATCATAGAGAAATTGCACAACATATTTCCGACTTCAAGTTAATACCTTTTCCTCACAAAAACAAATTTACAAGAACAGTTGTGCATACAATTCACACAAAACATTAAATACAAACGAACTCCGATTGCCGTCTATATTTCAACATTGAATCAAGAGAAGTATGATTGAATCACACTCCAAACATTAGTTTCGAAATAATGAGTGAAGTGAACAGCAAACACAAATTTACAGCAAAACAATAAATCTGGAAGTTTCAAAACATTTTTATATGATTTCATACAAAATAGTACTTTATAAAACAAGAAATCTGGAAGATTCAATTCAATTTTTATATGATTTCATCATGAAAAAATAGTACTTCATACAAAAAAATAACTGAAATTACAGAAAGGAATTATAATTTGAAATATTGTACCTTGATGGTAACCTTCCTCTTTTTACGCCTCGAGAGCCAAGGCCTCAAGTCATTGACTGCTACCGTAACCGGAATAATGCCAAAATCTAAACAAGTTAACAACAAACAAGCCTTAGTCCCAAAATGAAAAATATATACTACCTTCGTTTCATATTTTTTACAACTTTGGGTAATATTTGTGAGATATAAAATATTCCAAAGTTGCAAAAATTATGAAATGGAGGTAGTATAAAAAAATAAAAACATATACTACGTCTATATATATGGAAACAAACACCCCAAAAACTCAGTTCAATGAAATATCATAGAAAGAGGAGCTCAACCGTCGCCGCGTCGTACTCAAATCTTCAGATCATTCATTGCCAGCGACGGATTTTGAGAAATACCCAAATTGATCATATCTACAAAATCCAAAACAGAATAACTGAAATCCTTCGTCTCCTTCAACAAATCAAAGTAGTCAAATCCAGGGCAGGAGGGGCAGGGAGATAAGTGCCAATTTCATAGTTTGATCCTAAAATTAAAGGGTTTCTGCAGCACATTAACAACCAAATTTGATTCAATTATCAAATTAGGCTCATAAAATTAGAAAGAAAAGGTTTAATTTCATAGCTACATCTTAATATTAAAGGAAAATTTGATTCGATTATCAAATTAAGCTCATAATTTTCTTCTTTAGCAACAAATTGACGAGTTTAGTAAGTTAAAAAAAAAAATCAATAATCGACTTTAGAAAAAAAAAAAAAAAAAAAAAAAAAAAAAAAAAAAAAAAAAACCTAAATTGAGTATACTGAGAATTAAATTAACGATAAACCCTAGGTTGTGAAATTGAAATTCGATGATTAAAAAAGGGAAACAACGTGTTACCTCAAAAGTAATGCTTCAATGGAAGATAGAAATGTAAGAAATCGCCTGAATGGAGTGCTCTTCATTGGGAAACTGAGAGAGAAAAGAGGATATATAGATCCGCCTTAAAATATTTATTTATTCATTTTAATTTACTTAACAAGCAAATAAATCATGATAATCATTGGAAAAATAGTTGACTTATTGTTAAGACATTTAGTATGGAGTAAAAAAAAATTATATACCCGATTCAATGTGCATCTAAGGATATTATTTTTAGTATTGTAATTACAATCTTGCTAAGAATGCTAACAAACGCCAAAATAGTTTCTAAAATGATACGAAGTATAATATTAATTTGAGAATGCATGTCAAAATCATGCATCAATCGATGTATTTCAAGTTAATATCTTATACAACGCCCTCGAGGCGTTCGTTAGCTTTTGTCTTGTAATTATATTATTATCAATTAAAAACACTCAAAAATTTAGTTCAGGAAACCAGATAGCAACTTATCATTTCCTTCAAAAAAAAATAATAATAATTCGTAACAACTTATAATTTTCAACATCTTATTGATTTCTAGTATTTTGTTACCAGTTTTAGCTCCAATTTTGCCAAATAGAGCATAATTACAATACTTTTCTTATTCTTTTGTTTGTAATTTTATTGCAATACTTGTCTAATTGTCTTGTTCATTTGAACATCTTAATAACTTTATTGGATGGCAAATAAGATTTAATGACTAGGATATCTTTAAAGTTAGAGTGCACATACTAGTGTTCTATCTAGCATTTTCACTTATGATTCTGTGTTGAATTAGTAGCATAATATGAATGACTAAATACCACAAAAATCAATGAACTAAAGTGGATCATAAGTATCACAATATGAGTCATGATTGTTCATTTTACTTACCTACTTAATTTACTCGAGAACAATTTCATTTTATTTTTTTCCCACTACTAATTAGCCTCATGTAACAAACCATGTTCCATAGACCTAGTATTTTCTAACGTGTTGTGGTGAATGTCAATAACACACATTATAAAAAGCATTCAAAAAATAGAGAAGTTATTTTTAAAGGAAATGCAAAATCACATGTAAATATATAGAATCATTTATATTTAAAAATGATTATTAGACCTCAAAAAAACTCTTGCAATACTCTTAGTTTCTTTTAATATGCTTGTATACTTAGGGACATACCTTTTCGGACGTTTTACCAAAGTGAGCCAAAATTGGTAAATATTTACCAAACTGGACGCGTGGCAAAACTATTTACCAAACTAAGCTTTAAAGGTAAAACGCTGTCTCGGACAGCGTTTTATCTTGGAATTTTTTTTAAAAAAAAAAAATCAGTTGGTAAAACGTTGTCCCAGACAGCGTTTTACCTTCTGTTTCTTTTTTTAAATTCTTAGTTTATGATAGGTAAAAGAAGTAAAATAAAAAATAAAAAAACCAGTAGCACATAAAACGCTATCTGGGGCAGCGTTTTATGCGCTAATTTTTTTTTTTTATGAAACGTTGTCCGAGACAGCGTTTCATGTGCGTATAATAATTTCAGCACCAGCAGTTCAGCAGCAGCGTAAATAACAACAACAACAACGCACTCCCTCCTCCCTCTCACACTAAACCACCAAGGCCCTAACCACCCTCACTGCTGCTGCCGCCGCCGCCGCCGATCAATTTGGGATGGGAACTTTCAGTCGAATGCTGCACGACGATTAATTTCACATGCCGTTTAGTTCTCATATAGCTTCACCTGTACATGGGGGGGCATATGTGGCAATGACCGGCCAAGTTGGGCCTTCGACATCAAACACCGTCACACCTTCACCTGTGCAAATGCATAGTCATTCGCCCATGGAAGATGATGTTCAAGCATCGCCGTCTCAGCTTGTGCCAGTTCATCTGGGAAATATTGTGAATAACGAATTGTCTGTGTATGATGTGTATACAAATCATGAGGCTGAGAGCGGAGAGGAGTTCAAAACATGGATGTTGAACCTGCTCACATGGAAGTTGGTGAGCCCCTGGTTAGAACTCCCAGTCCTTGGTTCAATCAGGTAAACGAGAACTACGAAGTTGATCAGTATTGGGCCGAATCGGGTAGTCGTTCATCGTTTCGCCCTAACCACCCTCACTGCCTACACATCTGCTAGACCATCAGGCGGAGTGGCGCGCCAGGGTCCCCCTGATCTGTTTTGAGATCGTGGAGAGTCACCTACCCGACCGAGTCCTGAGGCAGTTTGGACTACGCCAGCCCATCCCCAGCAGTGTGACACGAGCGTACGCCTTCACGGCGTTGACCGTCGGGGAAAGGGGGAGACCAGCTGGTTACTGGAGCATTGGCGTTACGTTGAGTTGTGGACGCAACGCCTTGAGTTTGTCGTTGGAGGTGATCTGATGGAGGGCGTTATGGATCCCACTGATCCATACATGGTGTGGTACAGGCGTATTACACGGCGTTTCATCAACCCCAGTTACACACCACCATCGACACATTACCATCCAGCATATGACGTCATTTACGGATATGTGAGTTTCTTATTCTACTTATTTTTATCAATTTTTAATTTCTATATCATACAACTGACTAATCGATGATTACTGCAGGCTGCGGATATGGCTGCGATGGTTGATGCACTGTCAATTACCCTCGTAGATGGACCCATCAGATCCCAGGTCCAGCGGGTACGCGATATGGGCGTGACTACCTTACAGAGATATGGTCACGGCTATCTCGTCACCCAGCGGGACGACCATGATGGGCACTCGGTCCATTCACAGTTCGAGCTCGGCCAGAGTAGCTGTGGAGGTGATCTTACGTCACCCAGAGACGCAGAGGACTACGTCTTCCACAGTTCTACGCCGACCCCTACCCAGGAGGGTCCATCGTCTATCCAGCAGACTCCCCCACCGCCCCGAGACCCGTTTACCACCATTACACATTACAGGCGGCGGCGTGTCAGACGAAGGGCCGACACAGAGACAAAACCTTTACCCCGAATAAATGAGTCGGGATAGTATTAGGTCATTTAATTCTTATAGCCCGATTTTGTAGAATGATGTACATAACACTTATATTATTAATATAATGAATGTTTTTTGAATGAATTTGTGTGTGATGTGAAGTTTAATTTCCTTATTTGTCCAAATCGGACTTATGTCATTCAAAATAGATGCTTCTAGGATGATATATATCAAACACAAGACATTTGAGCTCCATAATGAGAAACGGGGTAGAAGCGATGGCCCGTGGTGGTTACTTTGGTGGTTCACAGTGGTTGTAGTGCTGTTGGGGGTGTCGACAGTGGCGGGAGGTGTTGGTTGGTGGAGGTCGACGGTGGTGGGACGGTAAGGGTTGGTGGTGGTGGTGGTTGTAGTGTTGCGGGGGGTTGTTGGAGTGTTTTCAACTGCATAAGGGTGGTCGAAAGTGGCGGGAGGTGGTGGTTGGTGGTGGTCGACGGTAGTGGGCCGGTAGGGTTTGGTGGTGGTGGTTGAGGGTGCTGACTGTTTGAAGGCTGGGGGTGCTGCAGGTTGCTGGAGCATGTTGGTGGTGGTTGCTGCTGGTCTGCTGTCTCCAGCAGAAAAACGCTGTCTGGGACAGCGCTTTATGTTTCAACATAAAGCGTTGTCTCAGACAGCGTTTTATGTTCAATTTGCATTTTTCATTTTTTTAATGATAAAACGCTGTTTGGGACAGCGTTTTACCAACTGAATTTTTTTTTAAAAAAAATTTCAGGATAAAACGCTGTCTCGGACAGCGTTTTACCCTGGAAGCTTAGTTTGGTAAATAGTTTTGCCACGCGTCTAGTTTGGTAAATATTTACCAATTTTGGCTCACTTTGGTAAAACAACCTACCTTTTCTCTATGATGTTAATTTGATACGCCATCCATTGCCAATCAACAAGATAGTCCATGATATTAAGGGTCAATTATAAAATAACTTCTTAATTGTAAAGGTAAGACTTTACTCTTTGTAAAAATACTTGTAGACACAAAAGCCTTATTAGAGGTAATGGAGTAATTGTATGTTGTGATTAATATTATGATCAAAATAAAACTCGCCACAACTATTTTTATTATATTATTTACAAACATAATTTTCAAGTTAATGGTATACGAACTTCTTAGGATCAAGATAAGCTAGTATAAAAGGCTTACATCTAGATCTTACCGAGATCATATACACCTTAGTGATCAGAAAAATCAAAAGTCCTAAACAAAATTCACATGGATCATCTTCATTTTTCTCTACCATATCCCTCAATTAAAAGCCTAAATCACTATATTGCTTAATTTCTATGCATAGGAGTTATTAAAGGCTAGTATGCCATATGTCCTTTGTAAATAACAAACAATCTTCACCCATCAAATTTCTTAGATAAAGAGAAAATAATGGACACCCACAAATTCTAGCTAGTTTTTATTCAACGGTTAGGGGTAGATGTATTCTTCAATTCCTCAAATCGCATATCATCTTATTTATCTCATATACCATGCATCATAATATATAACACAATTGAACCCAAATTATTTCAAAAACAATAGTTGAACATTGCCAACAACATATAAATACTACTACAGGGGGGATTTTGTAAGGCTTTCACAAATTTAGTTAGAATTTTAGAAAATGGGAACATTTTAATGAGGCAAGCATCAAATTTCTTGCAAGAAAAATATAAAGCTGCAAGATTGGCATTAACTGGTGTATCTGAAGCTGAATTGTAAGTATAATTTGTTTTATTTTGTTAAATTTTACAAAAATAATAACAATAACAATAATAGTAATATTAATAACTATTTTTTTTTCTACTTTTTATAATTATGTTGCTTGTTTCAGCTACGGCGAGTTGACTACACACCCCATTAACAAGCAAGTTCTCCAATCTACTGGGAAAATTTCAAGTTACAATATACTTCCTCGTTTCAATAATATTGCAACAAGAATGAAATTATGCATCCCAAAACACATTTTACATGTTAAATATCTATAATTGTGTAAGAGTAAAAATTATAAAAAGTTAATATTGTGAAAGTATTTTATGAGACAAAACTAACAAGATCCCACATCACTATATTTTACTTAACGTATAAATCATATTATTATATGGTCAAACAAGAGTAATAAATTGTGCAAAAAGTCCATTGTTGCAATATTAATAGAATGGAGGAAGTAAAACATTCCCATCTGTTTTATAATAATTGACACAGTCAAACTTGACATATATATCAGTGCATGAGTTTGAACATTTACATATTTTATTAAAATATTAAAAAGTTAATATTGTTAAATATGTATAATTGAAATTTTAAGATATGCATTGATGCATGTACCTGTCGAACTGATGCATTTATTTAGATACAGAGAAAGTAATTTGCTTGAATACGAGTTAACTTGATATGACCTATATATGTTTTTCCGTTATTTTCTTCAAGGAAAACTTAAATAGTTAATGCGATCACAAATCATGATGATGATGAATTAACTTTTCATGTTTAAATACTTCTTTAAAGGTTAGTAGAAGCAGTTACAGATGATAACCCATGGTGTCCTGAAACCAAAACCATGGCTCAAATAGCCGAGGCAACTTATGATTTTGATGGCTATTGGAAAATTGTTGATCTCCTTCACAAAAGGTATGATAATAATTAACTAATTTGTTTAGAATGGTGACACCTTTTCTATTATGATTCATATATATTTTTTCTTACCTTTTTATGAGCTTCATAACATGTGACATGTCTTTTAACCGCATTAAAATTTTATATCTAGATCTACACATGTAAAAGTAACTCTAAATTAAATCTTTTTTCACATTATGATATAAAAATTTCATAATATCCCTTATTCTTCAAATTTTTATAAGAAAAAAACACTTTTAAAATTAAAAAACACTTAATTACATAGGTTACACAATAATACACACATTAATCATTAATTGATTAGGACATACATGTATTTGAAAATTGGTTGAAACTCATAAACAAATTAAAGGCCAGCTAGTACAAAGTATCAAATTTTCTCAACATTTTTATATAATACGTAAATATTAAAGAAATTTTAACTAACAAATTAAATGTGCAGGTTGTGTGATGTTAATTGGAAGAAATGGAGACAATCTTACAACTCATTGATCTTGCTGGAATTTTTAATAACACATGGTCCTGAGGATTTTGCAATAGAATTTAGAAGTGATGTCGACGTTATTAAGGAGTTGGGAACATTTCGTTACATAGACAAAAAGGGGTAATTTTCTCATATGTACACCCATCCCTCCTGCCCCCTACAAAATAATTTGTCCTGTTTATTGAACGACTTAACCGTAGTTGATTGGACGGTCATAATGGATAGCTTATTCGTACAATTATACGGTATCATTTTCTTAGCTATATAATATCTTGTATATAATATATTATGAGCTAATCATAGTCGTAATATTTATCTCATGTGTGACGAAATGAAGTCATGCATCTTTTGCGTCATATAAATATTTTCAATTTTAGAATATGACTAATTAATAATAATTTGATAATCCAATTTAATTGAACCACATTGAACATGTTAAGTACAAGAACACTTGTAAAAGGTCACTAATATTTTCAAAATTGTAATCATTGTAGGGTGAATTGGGGACATTACATGAGAAACAAAACAGAAAGGATTTTAAAATGTCTTCAAGGAGGATCATCACTTCAAGAAGTTCGATCCAAGGCAATAAAACTTACAAATGAAATCCAAGGATTTGGAAGTTCATCGTCATCAACATCTCCTTCATCAACAGCGTCCCCAACAAGCTCATGGCGATCATCATTTGAATCTAGTTCTCCTTCTAGCCCTACGTTATGGCATGACAATACAAATTATTACCAAAAACACGGCGAAGTGAATAGGCAACCCTTTAATCACCAACAAGACTTGTTAGAAGCTAATTCTCCTTATTGATGATAGAGACATATTGGATTGGAATTCAATTGAAGAAACTTTCACTGAAATTGATTTGAATGATGATTATGAAGATCGGAATAAGAAAAAAGTAGGATTTTTCAAAGGAATTTACGGGAAACATGTTGGTTATAGCCCATTAAAGAAGGGAAGTGAGCGAAAAAAGAACACTTGAGTACGTTGATCACTATTGTTCACTAAGAAGATGTTAGAACTTCAAGTTTCAAATAATGAACTTTGCTTGATAATCAATCGATATATATTACTTGATCATAAATTCAACCAATTGAAAATCATTTGTTATAATGCTTGAATTAGTAATTGTAGTAATTTAGCTATATGAGAACGTTATGATGAGGAGTGATCAATATGATTTCTACCATTAGGATTTCATTTAATAATTGATACATAATATGTACCGTTGTACTTGCAACCATGGTGTGTAGTAATTAAAAATTCATGTGTTATTAACATGGTTGATATACATATTAAATAATGAATCAAATTAATGAGATAAATGCATCATATCCTTACCTAATATAAAAGCCCAAAATCGTACAATGACTAATTAGAGTTGATTATGGATCGATACACAATAAACAACTCAATTTGTGCCAAGATTCACTGCTCAAAAAACTCAAACCATGTCAGGTGTAAGGCTAAAAATCTATAACAAATTAACAATATTTGATTTTTAATGTAACCATTGTAGTTTTTATCAAATTTGTAAAAAGAAATTTTCAAAATTAACAACTAATACAACAAAAATTTTAAAAAAAAATTACAACTAAAGACAATGAAAGAGATATGAGACATGGAACCACTGCAAAAATATGGAATAAATTGTAGCTATAAGATTGTTTGTTTGTGTGTAGCGTAAATGCGGGACAATGGACCATTATAAATTCATCATACTTGTCAGTTGTCTTATTTGAAGAGAAATATAAAAGATGGACTAAATCACTAAATTTATTATTTGGACCATTAATATTATTTATATGTATGATGATGGTGAGTTGTGATGGAAAATTTGGAGTATTAGATATGAAAGATGAACCTAAACTAGGTTGATATATGTTTTGGTATTTTCTGCCTTAGATTTCTTTTTAGAGGGGAAAAAGGGTCGTTGGTAGTTGCAATTACCTAGCCGACAACCAAAATAAGATAAAGTTTAAAGCATGAAATAATATTCTTTTTAAGATTTTTTTTTACTACATTGAGTGCAAAGAATACCATCCATATATATATATATTCAGAGCGTTTTTTATGTTGCTGATCTAACTGATAGACTAACACAAAAAAAAATAATGATTGAGTAACCCTTAACTGATCGAGTAATCCTTGACCGACCGAGTAACCCCTAATCAAGTAACCCCAGCCACACAGTGCGCCTCATAAAAAACTTCGTGAATATATATACGATATACATAGCTAATTTGAACTCAAAAATATCAACGTATTAAAAGACGTTCTTAAAAACGCTGATGTGCCACGTAATCCCCTTTTTTGTTTCGCCACATCATCTTCCCAACATCTCATGGTGCCACATCATCACTCAAACAATGCCACGTCACCCAATATTACTCCATATAAAATCATAAGGACAAGGAGATTCGAACTCTTAACCTCTTATAAGAAAGATGACTGTTTAACCAACTAAGTCAATGATCAACTATGTTATTAATAAGTCAAAAGAAATTATATAAGTGCAAACCACAAGCTTTAATTCAAAAAAAAAATAAAATACTCAAAGAATAATAACCTCAATTTTGATTTGACAATGACAATTGCAGTTTTGAAAAGCATTTTAAAAAAATTATCGATCGCCCCGGGCTACTCACTAGTTATTCATAAAAAGGAAGGAGTATAACTTGACCAAATTCTAAAATACTTTAGAGTTAATTACTTTATTATTTTTATTAATTTAAAACTCTTTATTAGGTTTAGACTTAGAGGTTTGCATATTGTGTTGTGTGAAGCCTTGGACATTTCGTTTTTATTTTTATTTTTTTATTTTATGCCAATAATTTTTGTAGGTTTATTTTTTGATGCAAATAAATTTTTGTAGGTTTATGCTACAAGTAAATAATTTCTTTTCAAGATCACCAACAGTATGGTGATTATAGTCAGTCCCTCCATGTAGGGTTTAGTCAGTTTTCTAATGGTGGGATGTTTAGTATTGTTTGTTTGTATGTCTTTTGTGTGTGCAGGGATACAAATTTGAATGATTCGTCTTGCAAATTTGCGGGTCTGTTGGTATAGGGGTGCAATTTTAAAAGATTTGTCTTGCATGCAGATCTTGATGACCAATTAAGTTTTTTCACTTTTGCGACTATACATCTTGGAGCTCCGTCAAGAACAATGCAAAGACATCTAAAATTATCCAGGAGCAGTTCAGAAGCGATGCCATTAGTTTAGGGGTGTTTAATTCTTGTATTGAGAATTTAGATTTCTTAAAGGATGATTGTAAGTGCCGAATGACTATTATTATTTAATAAAATCACCCCTCCCTATTTCATTCAAAAAAACATAATTTCTTTACAGTGATATAAAATTCCAGCAAATCAATTAAATTATTCTACTAATTATTACTTGTACAAGGAAATACATAATAAACTAGTACTGTAATTTTTTGCTAACAAATTATAGAGGCTATTTATTTATTTTGTTTGATGAAACATTGCATTTATTTTCTAGCTTGTACAAGAACGGATATTGACACGAACACGGGTACAAAACTGATACGGAAAAACGTTTATCTTAAAACAAGGGACGCGGGTATGAGATGTTAAAATTCATGTAATATATTTTTAAAAAAGAATATGACCATATATTTGTCATTCCGTCCTTTTATTAGATCATACTGTTTCATATTAACAATAAGCTATATATGAAAACACTTATATTATTTAACAATTACCTTATTTATCTTACTTTACTTAACTTTTCTCACTAAAAAAAAGTTGAACAGTCTATATCATACTAGGATACGATTCGAGACGTATCGTCGTGTGTCTCACGAGTGTCGATGTCTGACACGGTGTCCGACACAGACACGACAGTTGGATGAAGTATTTGTGTGTCCTAAGTTTATTTCTACACTGTAATAAACGAGTATGATACTAGTGCCAATAATTGATGCATCTTATAAACTACTATGAGTCAAGGGTGTAGTTTAGTAGTTGAATATTAAATTAATAACGATTTAGCAATAATTTGGTACGTATCTTTCGATTGATCTGTCAATTAATTAATCAGTTGAATACGAATTGAGCATGAAGTTGCACTATAAAGATCATGATCTTATTAATTAACAGAGGTACCAAATTATGTTCCTAGTGGTCCCATCACTATGTATTCAACAATAATAATAATGCCACTAATTATATTATATATTACTTGCATATGGTTTTAATTTGTACCTTAAAACTTTGATTTGTATGTGATCGCTTAGAAGATGGCTGATCAGACAATGTAGATCTTTTTCTAATATTTCTTCAATTAATTATGGAGTACTGTACTATCTAATTTATTTATCATTATTAATTTTTGAAGCCTTGGAAGTAAACATGTAGTTCATTACTTCATGGGACTTATTTATGGTCAAACTATCTATTTTTTATTTATTTATTTGTTTATTTTTTTGAGGAAAAGTGGTCAAACATTTTTTTGATTATATCTCTTACTAGGTATCTCGACTCGAGTTTAAAATTAAAAAAATATTTATTAACAATATTCTAATTATACCATTCATTTAGAAATAAAATATAGGTGAATAATATTTGCCAACTTAACATATACAAAGTGTTTCTAATTTGATTGTAAAAATTAAAATATTGTACTTGCTGTGTCAAAACAGGAGAAACTATTAAAGAGGATTTAAGGGCTTGAGGTAATAGAGTAGTGACATCCTTCTCAACTTATCAATCAATCAATCAATCAATAACTTAATAATAAAACAGACACCGGGAGTGACATGTGTCACATCCTGGTGCTGTTTTCTCTCTCTAAAACTCCCCCTCCCCTTTTAGCAAAAAAAATAAATTATTTTTGGAATATTTTTATGATAAAACTATAATAATATTATTCCAAACTTATATATTATCTATATATAAAATGTATTCCTTTTTGTCGTGTTCTAAAATTTTCAATGTACATTTACCTAAAATAGTTTTCCAACTCTTTTTTAATTATCTTTTAAACGAGTATTATTGAGTTTTACCGAAAAAGTAATAAATTAAAATTGATTCATATCGAAATATTTGATATTAAAGAAATTACTTTAAAACATCACTTTAATTTATTTTTTTCAAATTCCTTTTCATTTTGTTTATTAAACTAATGGAGTATTAGATATGCCCATAAAATAAATGGTGTGTTTGAAAACTATATTATATGTCTAATTTTAAAATGTCAAATATTAATCAATTTTTTGTTATTAAATTATTAAAAAAAGTTAATATCTAAGTAAATACAAAAAGTTATCATCTTTTGCTGAAACACTTTATTGAGATAATAATTTTATCACATTCGACATTCATAAATAAGCTGCATTTTAAAAAACACGTTGGACATAGTGACAAGTGACATATTCTTTTTTTTTTTTTTTTTTTTTTTGGATAAACAACTATCATCGACAAATAAAACTTTAAGGCAATAATAAACAAACAATGATCAAACTAGAATTATTGGATAGCTTTCAAACACATTTTTATATAATAACAAAGAGCGACGATATCATGTAGATCATCAATCCATAAACAGAAAATGTACTACTAATAATATAGGTTAGTGTTGCCTAATTATTGATTGTTATTGCCTTTAATGATCTAATTAGTATTTATTTTCATTGAATTATTTTATTGGATATAAAGATGATATGTTATTTAATTTGTAATTTATATATTTACATGTATGTTGTGCCAATAGTTTTACTGTACATTTTAATTTGTTGTTTGATTAATTTTTTTGATGTTTATTAAAAGACATTTATAAATAAGTCTTTAGTCATATAGTCACTATTGTATAGTTTTATTGGGAATAATATGCATTATTAATGTAATATAATGTATACAACTTTTAAATATTTTCAACTCAACTAATCAACAATAATTTTTTTTCTTTCTCAATTGTAGTTTTAATGCATTCTGCCTTATTATTTTATTTTTCTATATGCATTGCATTTGTTAATTTCACATGAGTTGCCTCATTTTTATATTTTCAAAATTCATTACGGAAAAAAATTTATTACTACCGTGCATCGTATGAGTACTAATC